ACAGTGCACTGAGCCAGGTTCATGAACAAAAGACAGTTGTATAACACCGCACAATCTGGGCTCTGTTTACAAGGCTGCAGGCCTGGCTGAAATATTCGGGCGTCAATGAAGGTCACCTGTCAACTTAGAGTAGTACCTAAAGATTATTCCGTGCGGCTATAAACGGCTGTTAAATGGAATGATGAATTGTTGAAGGATTTTGAAAACGGAAAAAATGATAGTCATGCAGGCCCAGCATCCTCAACGTTGAAAAATGCCCCGGCACGAAGTGGTTAAGTGTAGGATTGAATTCAGTTCAAATGATTGAATATCCGAATATTTAACCTTGCGTTGGATCAAATATTGGAAGATTCAGAAAGTTGGCACAGCCCTACATTGCTACCTGTTTTTGTGCCCTGGCTATGTACAAACTGGTTTTTCCGTCATTGCCTGAATCTTTGAATTTCCCTCAAATATTGTTTTTGGCATTTTTGTCACCTTTAACACCTTCGCAACGGGAAGCGGCAAGAGCCGCTGTAAAAATTGAGATTCCTCAGCCCGCTTTTCAGCCATTGTTCTCGGCCCACTCTCGAGCGAATACGGTGAAAGAAGGCATACCCTGGCTCCTGTATATATGGTGATTGGCCTTTGTGTGTTGCCAAGAAATGAAAAGGCCGAATTTGCATCATAATCACCAGCTTCACAATAGTCCCCACTTTGAAAAAAGGCAACGGGAATGTGGAAGCGTGAATAGAGCCGCATGCCACTGAACAATGAGCCTTTTCACAGTGTAAATCAAAGCCTGCAGAGCACGCAGGGCCACAAACTGAGAATTTGCGGTTTGGCAGGTGGCCTTGTGGCCAAGCAAGGCTGGAATTCTCGGAGTCGGCTTTCAGAAAAAAGTCATGGCGTCAAGGATATAAAGATCAGCATTCCTTATTGTCTTTTCTTACCGGCTTATCCTGATGTTTTGAATCTGTTTCATTTTGGAAGTAAAATATTGAAATATTATCTTCAGGCAAACTTGAATTCTCAATTCTGGTTGGTTGATCCATGGCAACAACCAATGTGATATATAACTGTATTGCATGGTTCATATCAAACCCTGCGTAATGCGCTGTTCTATCTCAACGTATTCGGTTTGTTTTTACGCTGAAAGCAAAACACACAACAGCAGAAATTACCTAAACTCAAAGGTGCCACATTTGCACACTTAGGTCCCTACAACATCTTTACAGCACGTCAAGTTTGCTTGAAGATAAATTCATCACGCTTGGGCTTGTCAAACACAGTAATGTAGTGCGTCTGTGTCCACTCACTCTTATGTGATAACTAATGTTATTATGATAAATATTAAAACATCTGTTAAATCTATTTATTCATTTTAAGCATCATAATTCTTTTCTTTTGTGATAGATCAGGTTCACTTTCATATTTTTTTGTATTTACTTCTCTGCAGGAATGGAGGCGATAATGTCAGAATTTTTCAACGATACAACAACAGCATTCTATATCATTTTGATTGTATGGGTTGCTGACCAATACGATGCAATTTGCTGTCACACCAACATCAGCAAGAGACATTGGCTTAAGTAAGTCTGCCGAAATATTTCAAAGTGGCTTCAATCTTTTGCATCTAGGAACCAGAATTTCTTGTCATATTTATGGTCGATTTTGTTTCTTGTATATTACTGCAGGTTTTTCTATCTCTACCATTTTGCATTCTATGCCTACCATTATCGATTCAATGGTCAGTACAGCGGTTTGGCGTTAATCACTTCTTGGTTATTTATTCAGGTAAGTTAGAAAGTTTGTTTACACAAGTTTAAACAATGTGTTTGGCCAGTATAGGCTAAGATGTCACTAGATGTGAAATGATAAAGATGATTACATTGGTCTTAAAAATGAAAGTCCCCCCTTCCAAAGAATAACAATTTGATGGCACTTCAGATTATTATTGTAGGGGTTAAAACTTGTATATTACAGATAATATGTTGCATAACATGAAAACTGATTTTTACCCAAGATTTACATATCTGTAGAACCAATACTTTGTAATTTTGTTTCCGTATTGGGAATTATGAGTGTGAATTGCTTGTATTTTGAATTTCAGCATTCCATGATCTACTTTTTCCACCACTATGAGTTGCCAACTATTCTACATCAGGCTAGGATCCAGTTACTCCTTCAACGCAATCAACATGGAGGGATGCATGGAGCAGGTCTCAATGCTAACCTGAACCTCAACCTTCAGGATAACATACCCCCTGACATACCCGCTGATGATGCCCAGGCGACACCACAAGTTGGTCCCCAGGTCGGTCCCCAGGTCAACACCAACAGCAATGTGAATAGTGTTGGTACTAACATCCAAGACCAAGCAGCAACTGTCCCCAGTAGGCATCAAGCGCAGGCACCAGCCGCAGCAGTACCTCGAGTGGTCAACCCTACCATTTGGCAGTTCCACATAGGATCCATGCTTAGACAACGAGTGGTCGTCCCTGCCCAAGCAACTCACCGGTACCCGCCAAACACCGGTTCCAATCCCCCTACCACTTCACCACATGTAATAGTCGTCAACTCAAATAATTCTACAGGACCGCCACAGAGTGCATCAATTTCAGTAACAGAACAGCCAATCAATGAGCAAAATAGTACAGCCAGTACCTCCACTGAAGGACAAAGTAACAACGTACAACCATCCACAAATAAACCTAGTGAATCTTTGACTGAGAGTCCTACACCATCACAAAGTGATTCCAGTTCTACCTTGCCAGTTGATAAGGAGAGCCCAGCTGAGAACTCAACTACGACCAATGTAGGACCTACATTGAGTAACTCATTGAATGGTGGAACGAGTGTTTGACTCAAGAAATGAGCCAGTGCGTAAGTGTAAGTGTAAGTCATGTGTGTAACTCCTTAAGCAACTGCAGCTAGCCAGCATTGGAATGAAGTGGACTAGCCTGTTACTCATTTCGGATTAGTTGAAGAACACAGAAAGACCGTTTCAGAGTCCAACTTCCTGGTCTTCATCGTTTTACATGCAGGCTGAGTTCTTACATGTGGACTTTGGAAATGTCCGAAAGAGAATTTCTCCAGAAAAGTTTAACTTTATAGTCTGGAGGCAGTGCTCCATCCCACTGCATTATTTTGCATATTTGTCCAATTTATATCCCCTGAACTGCTGCGTCTCAAACAAATATGCTTTCTCTGTGATGTAACGAATCAGTGATATCTTTTGCATATTTACCACTCATTCCCATGAATTAAGTAATTTGACGTACAACGTGAAGCACTACAAACATTATGCATGTAAGATAAAACACTATTTTTGTGCAATCAAATGTAAATTTCATTTCGTTGAATGAAAGCAACATGCTGTTTGGAGGAACATTTTGTGGCATTAATTTCTAGATTTATATCTCTGATTTCTTTGCTTGAACTCTGTGGGTGCTGTAGAGTCTCATTCATTAAAGTCATGTTTCTGTCAAGGTGTTCTTTCCTATAAAAATCATTGTTTATCACAGAAGGAAAGATGAATCCAAGGGTTTTTCTCAAAGTCAGCTTCATCTTTCTCAGATTTCAGTTTCATGAATTTAGTTTTTTAAAGTTGAGAACCTTGAGCTCTGTGCTTCCTGCATTATCTGCCACAAAAAGAGTGAATCATCTTCATACCGGGTATAAGGCCACCAAATGGGCACAAACTGAAAGTATTGTCACATGGGCATTTAGTGGCTGGTTTCAGTCAAGTTTGGGTGTCTGTTGTATCTCTTTTTGTCATACTTGAGGAGTACCTGTCACCTGCCCATACAATTCCCACCCCTAATTTCATTATTAAAAGATGGAAACTATCAAGACTTTGGAGTTGTTTACCTCACTGATCTATGTGTGCTATTGCTACCTACATGTATTAACATTTAAGAATACCCAATGACATACACGTATCAGGCAAGTGCTCTTCAGATATATATAAAGACAAAACTTTGCTTGGATGGCTGTTCACTGTGCACAGAAACTCCACAGAGGTTAGATTTTTAGTTTTCCTTGCTTGGTTATATATAATACAAGGTGTAGTGGAGAAAATTCTGGAAGTAAAATTGAGAATTCCATAATCAGAGTTGTGAAATACCCAAGTCTGTTTTATTCTTTTTTTCTTCCTTTATGTGACCAGAGTGCATTCTTGGAAGAATGTCACATGTAGCATACATACAGAAGGTGCACTAGATTGATATTGTGCAAAGACTGCCTTTGTAAAGAACCACATCTGTCCGTCATGTCTGTAGATATCTCTATCATTCAGATATTTCCAAAGGTATGTGTCATACCGACCTTGTGGAAATAATCTGCTTAAAAATAAGTCTTGGTGTTTGTGGAAGCATATATCTGCTGCTTGTAGTTACTCTCTTGTACTCTCTGGGATATCTGTTCATTATTTGCAAATGTGTAGGAAGTTTGTATGACAAAGCCCTGACTATATAGCCCAATTCACGCAGCTGGTGTTGTTTTAGCTGTGAGCTAGAAATGTTTGCATTTCTTACCTATTACATACAATGTTCTAATAGTAGGCGAAACTGAAAAAAAAAGTATTTACAGTCCAAAAACAAACTGTTTTTGAAAATCCTCTTACAATAGATAATGTTTAGTCCTGAGGCGTATCCTGGAGACCAAGAAAAAGTCCCCATTCTCTTGTCTAGAAGCAGTCAGGTTTGGAAAAAGCTTATGAGAAATTAGTCTTAGTTATTTCCTTATTATAGAATTGCATAAATGACAGAAACATGGGTTGAATCGAATGATTTGAATAATAATGTTCATGATAACATGGTTATTCATTGGTGCTTTTTGTTTTATTCTATTAAGTGTGTCTTAATTTTGTAAATAGAACATCTGACTTTTTAAATGTGAGATGCATCTTTTGAGCGTGATCTGTGACGATGTTAAAACACATTGAAATGTGAACTGAAAATCTTCGTTTCGTAAAAGTTGGGTTGTGTCTGATTCATGGTTTCTTTTTAATCGAACACACATCTGGATGCCATGTTTGAATATGGATGAATAACTTGTTCATACTGTATGTGTACTGTACTGAATCAGATGGTCAGAAGTACAGTGTGATTCTGAATCACATGAACACATTCCCTTATGGACAATTTCAGCATGACAACAGTAAATTGCATGGAATTAGAGGTGGATCCGTAAATGGTGAAGGTCATAAACACCCTCTGAAATTCTGTTCAAACAAATTTGCTCTAAATCTTCCCATTTCTTCGCTGAAAATTTCCCCATTGATATTATAATATATTTCCTTTTAAAAAAAATTTTCTGTCATTACATTTGACCATGAATAAATATGGGCCAAGTTTCACTACTTTGGGTCCATAAATCCCAAGCATGCCAGCACATTAACCCTTACCCTCCTCACTCCTTCACCTGTTGGAGGACTGAGGAGTGTTAGGGTTCAACTTTAATGTGGGTGGTGATTTATTAGTTATCCATGGACTTCTGCTCAAGTTAATTTTGTGCCTTCTGGACAAGAATAAGAGAAGAATCTTGTAATTCTGTTATCTGTTGGAGACTTTGAAATTATCTACATAAATTTATGTTTTTAATTTGAAATCTTTGTTTAATTATCCATTCAAAGGCATGCTACATAGATGTTTGTGGATCATTCGCTTTTTTGTTTAGTGAATAAAAAAATGACTATTCATTTCTTTCTTGATGGTATTTTTTCTTATTTCGCATCCTGTTCCCCATCAACACATCTCTTTGAAGAATCATTACTCTTTAAGTAATTTTTAAAGTCATTTAGAGTGTCTTTTAGATATCACTTTTGTCAGTTGGCCATCACAGTTTCAGTCCTAGTGGTCCATTTTGACCATGTTTGCTCTCGCTCTCCTTAAAGAATTTAAAATCAGGGTTAATGGAAAACAGGAAAGTATTAATGAGAGCTGCATTAAAAAAATCATAATGGAACCTTTCAAATTCAGTTCTAAAAAAGCTTGCATTTTGCCAGGACTAAAGTTTAGGGTGAAATCGCTGGGGACGAGCTTAACAGTGAAGCACGTCGAGCCCATACGTACGCCGATAACGTACATTGTACGATTCCTGTGTGGGGGCGTTCATCACAAAATGGGCAACGACGGAACTGTGAGGCCTCTTGAAACGAAGGCAATTTTAGCTCGGATACGATGCCTCCAAGAATGCATCGAAAGTATCAGGAACTCCACGCCACTTCCAAAGTCCCTGTGCTACGTTCCAGGCGAAGTTCAGTTCAAGATCCACCCAAGTTTTGTCGCCAGAGCGGCGCGAGCAAGTAGCGGGGCCCGTGGCGGGCGATCACCGCCCAAGTCACCGCGGGTGAAGTTGACTGTGTACGCCAAGCCTAGCAAAGACTGTCCAGCCGACCAACAACGACATGTCTACTGCAGTAAATCAGCCAAAATTGTTGGAAGTGGGGAAGAAATGTGCAACAATTTTGGCAGCTGGATAAGACTGAGTTTACAAGTAGGTTTTTGTTGAAATGCACTCCCCTCAGCCACCGTCCACACGACATGCTCAATCTAGGCGTAGGCCTAGGCCTTATACTATGGAGGTAGAAACAGCCATGATCTCAGTCACGTCAGTCAACATGGTCAAACCATGGAGGCACATGTAGGAAATGGTCAAACCAAATTAAAAAAATAATAACGGCAGGCTATGGAGTTGTGAGAGAGGAGCGGATGTCGGACCCCACAGTTCTGGGGGTAGGCCCTATGCATCCATCATGTAGGCCTATATGGCATTCGGGGTACTGGCTGAAGACTGAGAGATTATAAAGTCAGCAGTTAAGGAAATGTTAAATGAAGGAATCATTAACAAAATGATACATGTACATGTAGGCCTGAAGCATTGGATAATGTTGGATAATGGGCATGATGGGTCAATCTGTGTGATCACTTGATCTTTGTTTGATCTGTCAGTCCTGTTGCATGATTTGCTGATAGTGATAAATGTAGTTCTGTCATCAGCCAATCGCAATGTCTTTCTATACCCGGAGTTTGAAAGATGGTTTCAAAAAGGATGTAAAGTCAAAGATTTCATACCGAATCAACTGATGGCACCCACCAATAATATGCTACAAGATAGTCCCTAAGGAGCCTAATTAATGCACCCAACTGTTACATGTATTTGCATAATTTGCAGTGAGGATATGTGAAGTCAACCCCCTCCAAGATACATTGTTTCATGCTCACAAGTAGACTTACCTACAAGCACTTTGTTTTTCAGTTTATCATTCTTGTGGTGGTGTAGGCATGTGTGATTAATCCCATTTCTATTTTTGTCTACTTCTTTCTGCAGAGCTGCTCAGATAAATTTAATGTATTTGATGGCAAGGCAGGTTGGCTTTTACGTTATGACAGTAAATCCAGTCAAGATGATCCCCCTCTTCTGATTCCAATCACTGAAGAAGAAGCAAGTGAACAGAGACAAATGGTCTTTGGGAAACAACAGAAGGTCATCACAAAGTATGTCAATTTTAATTTCAATCATTTTCCCACCAAGTTTAATTTCTGTACCCGTCCAAGGATATCCTACATGTTGTTACCTCAGACGCTGCACCCAGATCTCACATCACTTTTAGATCCTGCACGAAGGATATCCTGTATTTTAAGGATATCCTTGATCATACCCTGCACCTTCCATCCTATACCCAGAAAAACCCAGATTTTACCACAGGTTTCACCTCTTGTACCCAGAATAACCCAGAGTTTTGTTTACCACAAACCTCAACATCCTGTACCCAGGATATCCCAGATTTCATCACACAGCTTCAGATCCTGCATTTGATACATTTAGAGTTTGTTTTTCAAGATCTACTATCCTAACCCCAAAAAGAATTCAATTAAAGTTTCAGGAATGAATGTTTTGGCGGGAATGAAGGATGAAATGAGAATCATGAGTTTTTCTGCTGAAACTGAGTTCCCTGTGTTTTGTAGCTGGTCTTACAAGACTTGTTTTCTGCCAAACCTTTGCCAGTTGGCTTGATGTTGTAGAGGAGACACTCATGCTGAAGATTGGAGCAATGCGCAAAATTTCCCCACCAGACGAGGTCGCTGTTGGAGCTCTACAGTCTGTGCCCCCAAACTGGAGTCTGGAGTGTGACGAGGAGCTAGCCAAGTTCTTGTTTGAGCAGACTGTGCATGTTGACGAAATGTTGGGAAATGCAAAGCAGTATGTTGATTCTGTGGAGGTGTCTTCTGCAGCGGTAATGCACACTTTCAATTAATTCTAAATCTTCCAAATTAACCCAAATTTAACACCTTGGGTCAGTTTTATGGAGCTTTTAAGCTCTGCAGTTTGCTAAGCCAACAAGTTTACATGTATTTGGCTAGCATATATAGGTTACCAGCCAGATAAACGTTATGATATATAGGGCTTGTCAATGGTGCCCTGTCATTTTTGTCTTTCCTTCACAATGCTTTCTTAGGAAAAGTTATCAAATTGTTTTTTCTTCATTTCTTCTTTCTAGGATGAGGATGAAGATGCAAGATGCTTGACAGATGGAGATGAAGAAACTTACTGGACTAGCGATGGTACAACAGGACAACATTGGATCCGACTCTACATGAAGAGAGGAACAATCATCTCGTATGCTGACTCCTGACTTGTGGATCTTTCCCAGGGCTAACTTTATGGAGCTGTTGGATTGACAGATTTCCTTTGATGAGAAATGTTCTTTGTTGTACAGCAAAAAATGTTTCCTTCAGACTGGCTAATTTCGGCTAGAGACACAGTTGATTTTATGCCAAGTAAAACAAATTAGACTCTGACTGGACATCCTTCTAAAAAATGGAAATTAAAAGAGCCCAAACTACTCAAATAATTACTAATTAATTCTTGTGATAGATTTTGGAAACAGTAGTGGAATTGAAACTTAGCTATATCCAAGTATCCCAAAGTTTACTTTGAAACTGTTCTAAAATGTTAGAAAAGTCAGTGGTTTATCACCAGCATGAATGTGATGATCTTTGACAATGTGCCTTTTGACCCTTGGCCTTTGTTTTGACCTCAACAGGAAGTTTTATATCACTGTGGATAAAGAAGATGATAACTACATGCCTGGCCATATCATTGTAATGGGAGGACCTCTAGAAAATCTCAAGAAATTGAATGATGTCAACATTGACTTGTAAGTCACTTGAAAATATCACTCCTGGTTTCAGGTCAGATTTGATCCTGTACTCTGATGTGCGAGTTTCTTTTCCATACTCTCACTTTGTTTAACCACTTCGTGCGGGGGCATTTTTCAACGTTGAGGATGCTGGGCCGGCATGACTATAATTTTTTCCGTTTTCAAAATCCTTCAACAATTCATCATTCCATTTAACAGTCATTTATAGCCATA